GCTTCTAAGGAGCTTCTCAGAGTTTGCAAGGAAAAAGGCAGCATCAAAGAAAGGCATGAAGCATGAATCAGCCCAGGGCTCTGGGGGGTGGGGGTTGGGGTGGGGGCAGGGGAGGGCTGCACCCGTGCTGGCTGTGGCCAAACTGATCAGTGGAATTAATAGGGGCCCTCAGAACCCAGAATCCTTCTATCTGTGCTTTCCCTCCCTTTAAATCAAATCACTTATTTGAAAAAAATTAAAGGAAACTGTATCATTACTTTGAGTGGAAAATCAGTATCATTTACCACAAATCAAGAAAACCTTAAAGATAAATACAATAAGTCCTGACCGGTTTGGCTCAGTGGATAGAGCATCCGCCTGCAGACTGCATTTTTGCACCCGTGCTGGCTGTGGCCAAACTGATCAGTGGAATTAATAGGGGCCCTCAGAACCCAGAATCCTCCTATCTGTGCTTTCCGTCCCTTTAAATCAAATCACTTATTTGAAAAAAATTAAAGGAAACTGCATCATTACTTTACGTGGAAAATCAGTATCATTTATTACAAATTGAGAAAACCTTAAAGATAAATACAATAAGCCCTGACTGGTTTGGCTCAGTGGATAGAGCGTCCGCCTACGGACTGAAGGGTCCCAGGTTCGATTCTGGTCAAGGGCATGTACCTTGGTTGCAGGCACATCCCCAGTAGGGGGTGTGCAGGAGGCAGCCGATCGATGTTTCTAACTCTCCATCTCTCTACCTTCCTCTCTGTAAAAAATCAATAAAATATATATTTTTAAAAAAGATAAATACAATAAAAATGTAAATAAAATTATGAATGTGCCCTGTGCCCGAAGGATCTCTGTTTCTTATTTAAAGGAGAAATCTAAGAGACTTTCTCTTTGGTAATCAGATGGTCCAAAACAGAATTGAATTATGATGAATTCAATGCTAATTCATGCCTAATCTGCAACTCTCCCAAAATCATCCCTGCCTCTGGGCAATTCCTCTTCACCACAAAGGGGGTGAGGGTCCTTTGGAGACCATCTAGGTCCTGGTAACAGGAGCCTCCCTCCTTCCCAACATCTGCGGCAGAATGGGATTGAGCCCCGTTAGTTTCCTCATCTGTAAAGTCCTGATGACAGTGGACGAATCCTCACGGGTTGTTGTGTCTAGCATAGAGGAAGATCACCATCATCATCATCATCATCATCATCATCATCACCATCCCAACTTAAATGTGAAGGGCCTGCTCTTCCCCCAGTGTCTAGGCTGGTCCTTGCCCCTGTCCTCCTTCGGCTGTAAGGTTGTGAGGCCACAGTCCCTTTGTGAAGGGCCTCAGGCGCATCTCAGCCTTAGGCTGTGCAGGGCCGCCTGGTGTCTGCACTGCTTACGGGACTGCAGGGGTTAAATATGTCCAGCAGGAAACAGAACAACAGGGCCCCCTACGGCAATCAAGACCCTGGACAATGACTCAGGAGTCCAGTTTCCAGGACAGTGTGTGAGCCTGAACAAGCGCCTTACCTCCCCAGGGGCCCAGTCTCCCTTCTAAATGATGGTAGAGGAGGAGCTGGGTGAGATGGTCCCTCTTCAGAGACCCTAGGAGAGGTCCCCTTCTCTCCTTCTGAATAGATTGTCCTAGGAGTGAGTAAGACCTGGGGCCACGCAGGGCTCATAACCTGGTTTCCCGATGGCCCCCGGGAGCCTGAGGGACCCGCTTCCTCCCCAGTCACTGCCTGCGAGGCCGCGGAGGAGGGTCAGGACACCCCCTGGTGGGGACGGGGAGAAAGGCTCCGGAACTGCGGGATGCCTCTGAACTGACTTCTAGACCCACAGGCCCCAGAAAGTCGTCTAGCCCAGCCTCCTCATTTCCCAAGTGGGGAAACTGAGGTTCACAGGAGGGGAAGGTACTCCCGTCAGCAGAAAATCAGTATCCTTTACCACAAACCGAGAAAACCTTCCAGATACATACAATAAAAATAGAAATACAAGGAAAAGACAATGTCATGCAATTATGAATGTGCCTTGTGCTGGAAGGATGCTCTGTTTCTTGTAGGGTTGCCAGAAACCCTACCAGGAGTCCCAGTTAAATGTGAGTTTCAGATAAACAAGGAATGATTCATATTTTTTTAGTACATCTATGTTCCGTGCACCATTTACAACACACCTCTATTAGAAAATTATTCGTTAAGTATCTGAAATTCAAGTTTAACCAGGTGTCCTGTCTTTTTCTTTGTTATATCTGGCGACTGTACTTCCAAGCCAATCCTCTGAGTTCAGGTCTGAGCTCGGACTGCAGCCCAGACAGGGGTCAGGGCTTCTTAAACTTGGTGAATCCTTTTCTTTTACAAAAAATATTTTTTTAAATCGATTTCAGAGAGGAAGGAAGAGGGAGAGAGAGATGGAAACATTAATGATGAGAGAGAATCATTGGTCAGCTGCCTCCTGCATGCCCCCTACTGGGAACTGAGCCCACAACCCCGGCATGTGCCCTGATGGGGAATCCAACCGTGACCTCCTAGTTCATAGGTCAAAGCTCAACCACTGAGCCACACAGGCTGGGCTTGATCAATCCTTTTCACTCAGCAGGAGCGAGGGGGAAGTTTGTTGACATTATTCTGGGAAAGAGCGTGGAAGGATATCTGAGTACTGACTGATGATCCCAGGAGTGTTTAAAAGGAAGAAGGGAGATAGGTCCCCTCCCGCCTCCGGCACCATAGATCCTGGGCACCTGCCTTTCTAAAAGCTCTCCAGGTGATCCTGATGCATAGCAAAGACAGAGACCCCCTGGGTCAGCTGAAGAAGAACGGAAAACTGCTTGGACGGGGCAGATG